CAGTAATGGGATTGCTGTGTCAAATGGAATTTCCATTTCTAGATCCTTGAGAAATCACCACACTGTCTTCCACAATGGTTGAACTAATTTACACTCCCACCAACTGTGTAAGAGTGCTCCTATTTCTCCACATCCTCTCCAGCATCTATTGTTTTCAGATTTTTTAATGATCACCATTCTAACTGGTGTGAGATGATATCTCAGTGTGGTTTTGATTTGCATTTCTCTAATGACCAGTGATGATGAGCATTTTTTCATATGTTTCTTGGCCTCATGTATGTCTTCTTTTGAAAAGTGTCTGTTCACATCCTTTGCCCACTTTTGAATGGGGTTGTTTTTTTTTCTTATATATCTGTTTTAGCTCCTTGTAGATTCTGGATAATGGCCCTTTGTCAGATGGGTAGGTTGCAAAAATTTTTTCCCATTCTGTTGGTTGCTGATTCACTCTAATGATGGTTTCTTTTGCTGTACAGAAGCTCTGGAGTTTCATTAGATCCCATTTGTCTATCTTGGCTTTTATTGCCATTGCTTTTGGTGTTTTAGTCATGAAGTCCTTGCCTATGCCTATGTCCTGGATGGTTCTGCCTACATTTTCTTCAAGTGTTTTTATGGTGTTTGTTTTTATGTTTAAATCTTTGATCCATCTGGAGTTAATTTTAGTGTAAGGTGACAGGTAGGGGTCCAGTTTCTGCTTTCTGCACATTGCTAGCCAGTTTTCCCAACACCATTTATTAAACATGGAGTCCTTTCCCCATTGCTTGTTTTTGCTAGGTTTGTCAAAGATCACATGGTTGTAGATGTGTGGTGTTTCTTCTGGGGTCTCTGTTCTGTTCCATTGGTCTATGTCTCTGTTTTGGTACCAGTACCATGCTGTTTTGATTACTGTAGCCTTGTAGTATAGTTTGTAGTCCAGCAGTGAGATGCCTCCGGCTTTGTTCTTTTTGCTTAGGGTTGTCTTGGCTATGCGGGGTCTTTTGTGATTCCATACGAAGTTTAAAGTGTTTTTTTCCAGTTCTGTGAAGAAGGTCATTGGTAGCTTGATGGGGATAGCATTGAATCTATAGATTGCTTTGGGCAGTATGGCCATTTCCACGATATTGATTCTTCCTAACCATGAGCATGGAATGTTTCTCCACCTGTTTGTGTCCTCTCTTAATTTCGTTGAGAAGTGGTTTGTAGTTCTCCTTGAAGAGGTCCTTTACGTCCTTTGTTAGTTGTATTCCTGTGTATTTTATTCTCTTTGTAGCAATTGAATGGGAGTTTGCTCTTAATTTTACTCTTTGTTTGCCTGTTATTGGTATATAGGAATGCTTGTGATTTCTGCACATTGATTTTGTATCCTGAGACTTTGCTGAAGTTGCTTATCAATTTGAGAAGATTTTGGGCTGAGATGATGGGGGCTTCTAAATATACAATCATGTCATCTGCAAATAGAGACAGTTTGACTTCCTCCTTTCCTAATTGAATGCCCTTTATTTCTTTTTCTTGCCTGATTGCTCTGGCTAGAACTTCCAATACTATGTTGAATAGGAGTGGTGAGAGATGGCATCCTTGTCTAGTGCCTGATTTCAAAGGAAATTCTTCCAGCTTTTGCCCATTCAGTATGATTTTGGCTGTAGGTTTGTCATATATAGCTTTTATCATTTTATGATACGTTCTGTCGATACCTAGTTTATTGAGAGTTTTTAGCATGAAGGGCTGTGGAATTTTATCGAAGGCCTTCTCTGCATCTATTGAAATAATCATCTGAAAGAAACACTAAACATGGAAAGGAACAAGTACCAGTCACTGCAAAAGCAAACCAGTTGGCAAAGATCAAAAATGCAATGAAGAAAATGAGTCAACTAATGGGAAAGAAAACCAGCCAGTAACAAGATGGCAGGATCAAATTCACACATAGCAATATTAACATTGAATGTAAATGGCCTAAATGCCCCAATCAAAAGACACAGACTGGCAAACTGGATAAAAAGTCAGAATCCATTGGTGTGCTGTATTCAGGAAACCCATCTCACATACAAAGACACACACAGACTCAAAATAAAGTGATGGAAGAAGATTTACCAAGCAAATGGAGAACAAAAAAAAAAGCAGAGGTTGCAGTCCTAAGTCTCTGATAAAATGGACTTCAAACCAACAAAGATCAAGAGAGACAATGAAGGACACTACATAATGGTAAAAAGTATCAATCCTACAGGAAGAGCTAACTATCCTAAATATATACACCCCCAACACAGGAGCACCCAGATACATAAAGCAAGTTTTTAACGATCTAAAATGAGATTTAGACTCCCACACAATAATAGTGGGAGACTTCAACACTCCACTGTCAATATTAGACAGAAAATTAACAAGGATATCCAGGACTTGAATGCAGAGCTGGACCAAGCAGACCTAATAGCCATATAGCCAACTCTCCACCCCAAGTCCACAGAATATACATTTTTCTCAGCACCGCATTGCACTTACTCTAAAATTGACCACATCATTGGAAGCAACTCACTCCTCAGCAAATGCAAAAGAACAGAAATCATAACAAACAGTCTATCAGACCACAGCACAATCAGGCAAGAACTCAGGGTCAAGAAACACGCTCAAACCTGCACAACCACTTGGAAACTGAACAACTTTCTTCTGTGTGTCGACTGGATAAACAATGAAATGAAGGCAGAAATAAAGATGTTCTTCAAAGCCAACCAGAATGAAGACACAACTTACCAGAATCTCTGGGACACCTGTAAAGCAGTGTTGAGAGGGCAATTTATAGCAATAAATGCCCACCAGAGAATAGAGGAAAGATCTAAAATTGACACCCTATCATCAAAATTGAAAGAGCTAGAGGAGCAAGATCAAAAAAACTCAAAAGCTAGCAGAAGATGAAAAATGACTAAGATCAGAGCAGAACTGAAGGAGATAGACACACAAAAAAACCCTTCAAAAAATAAACAAATCCAGGAGCTGGTTTTTTGAAAAGATCAACAAAATAGATCTCTAGCCAGATTAATAAAAAAGGGAGAAGAATCAAATAGATGCAATAAAAAACGATAAAGGGGATGTCACCACTGATCCCACAGAAATACAAACCACCATCAGAGATTACTACGAACAGCTCTACTCATATAAACCAGTAAACCAGGAAGAAATGGATTAATTCCTAGATACTTGTACTCTACCAAGACTAAACCAGGAGGAAGTTGAAACCCTGAATAGACCAATAACAAGGGCTGAAGTAGAGGCAGCAATCAATAGCCTACCAACCAAAAAAAGTCCAGGTCCAGACAGGTTCACAGCCGACTTCTACCAGACGTACAAAGAGGAGCTGGTTCCATTCCTTCTGAAACTGTATCAAACAATACAAAAGGAGGGAATCCTCCCTAACTCATGAGACCAACTTCATCCTGATACCAAAACCAGGCAGAGACTCAACTAAAAAAACTTCAAGCCAATATCCATGATGAACATCGATGCAAAAATCTTCAATAAAATACTGGCAAACAGATCGCAACAGCACATCAAGCAGCTTATCCATCACGACCAAGTAGGCTCTATCCCGGGGATGCAAGGCTGGTTCAACATATGCAAATCCGTAAATGTAATCCATCACGTAAATGGAACCAAAAACAAAAGCTAAGTTTTTTCCCCACAAGTCTAATTGTCCCACTGGGCAATTAGGATCTCATATTAACTTCCGAGGTTGAAGGGACGTAGGAAGGCCCAGAACCAATTCCATTCTCCCCACACAGCAGAGTTAGTCTCCAATGAAAAGCCAAAGGATTCATGATAAAAGGATAATCCACAAGAAAAATCACCTCGCTCAACAGCAAAAGGCAGTTCACTGAAGTCATGAAGATGAAAACAGAGAGGCTATTTAAAAACCTCTCTTCACAGAAACATAATTTTAGGAGCAACTCACTTTACAGCTAGCGTAACTAAGACTGGGAGAAAGGATATAGCTTATCTTCCTACATGGGTATTTGGTCCAAAGACCCAGCGTTCCTGTAACGTGGATTCATTTTTCTCTTCCTGGCAGCATTTCCAGGTGTGGAAGGACTAAAATAACACAGGCCACTATTTTTTATTTTAACATTCTCCTTTAACTAAAACTACTGATGTCTTCTTCCTGCAACAGGATTTTGGTGGAACGCCTGCTTCTCTGCATTTTCTAGCTTATTTCATTTTATGCCAGATATGTGACATTATCCAGACACTTGTTTTGTTATTTAAAATGGAATAGTAGTATGCCAGAGTTTCTCCCACAAGTCAGCAAAAAATAATAATAACAACAGTTTTGCTCAAGGGATGTTAAATAGCAGAGTACCTCACTGCTATGAAGATTTTATTACTTTTTACTTTTTTTTTTTTAACTTAACATTGGCACTAAGTATTAAAAGCTCTACTAATTTGACTCTAATCACCAGCAGGGTTGGTCTATTTCTGGAGCTCCAAGACCCTGCAAGGTAAAGCCTCTCACATTAGGAGCTTAGACTCCCTTCTACAACATGTTACTAAAAAGGGGAGTAACAACAAGAGAATTTCAAACTAGTCTTTGCCCAGAGATTGACAGCAACAACATCAGCCTTAAAAGAACTGCTGAGAGCACACAGACACAGGGAGGGGAGCATCACACACTGGGGTCTGTTGTGGGGGAATAGGGGAGGGAGAGCGAGGGGTAGAGAGGTTGGGGAGGGATAACATGGGAAGAAATGCCAGATATAGATGATGGCGGGATGGAGGCAGCAAACCATATTGCCGTGTATGTACCTATGCAACAATCCTGCATGTTCTGCACATGTACCCCAGAACCTAAAGTGCTATTAAAAAAAAAAATATTATATATATATATATATATATATATATAAACTCCTGAGAGATTCTGGTGCGATAGCTGGCATAAAAGAGCAACCACATTCCCTAAAAGGACTGTTCTGTTGCACTCCCCACCCACAACCTCCACCTCCCATTTTCCAAATCAACATTTCCCCAAAGTAAAAGGGACTTACCCTACTATTACTATAACAAAATCCAGTAAATTCCATCCATTCCTAACATAAGCATTAGGATGTAGCAATAATCCATACGCTATAATCTTCAAAAATGTCTCGACTGTAAAAATAATCAGGAAGGCATATTCTACTTTTTCCTGTGGAGAAAAACAAAGAAACATGCCAAAAAAAGTAGGGGAGGAAGAGGAGACAGAAAAAGGAACAGAGATTAGAATCAACATCTTACACATATAAGCATTTTCCTCCAAGCAAAGTTTTATTATGAGAAACGCAACAATTACACTGCCCCTGGGCCAGGAAGGCATTTACATTTTAACACTGAATTTCTCATAAGCAACTAAGTGCACAACACTTTTCGTTCCAGGCTGCATGACTGCATTTTGCCACCTGCCCCGATGCGTGCGCGATGAGTCTGCCTAGGACGTAATGGGCATGTTTGTTATTTGCACACATTTGCAAAATGCAGCATGTTTCCCTCTTGAGGTTGCCAAATCAGGCCCAGAAAAGCACAAGGGTACAACAGAGATTCCAACAGTGGCTTTGAACAGAATGTCCTCCGGAAGAAATGAAGATGCATCTGTTTTGACCCTCTCTTCCACTTGGGTTTATGTCTGACTTCGAAGTCAGAGTCAGCTTTGTCACTGAGCAGCAAGGTGACCTTGGCCAAATCCCTCCCCTCCTCTGGACATAAGTTTCTGCATCCCCACAGTAAGGGAAGAGAATTCAGGATGGCAAACACCCTGCCTGCTTACTGGCATGCCACCTCTACTGGCTGACCTTGTGACAGGTCACCATGTACTTTCCCAGGAAACCTGGGTTCAGCATCTGACCCTTTCTCTTGTATCTGTCCCAGCAGCCATGCCCATCTGACTGCCACAGACCTCACAGGTACCGCCCATGGGCTAAATGACTATTAAAACCTTTCCAGTTCCAACCCATGCAACTCCATGAGTTGTAGAAAACGTATCAATCAGCAAGTCTAAAAACTGTCTCTTTTCTCTTTTATAAATGTTTTCTTTATATGGCTTTAGTTTCACTAGAAATAGGGACGGACAGAGATGTGTGTAATTAATTTTCCAAGAGGCATCCCCAGGCATGAAGCTACTTAAAGTAACATCAGTAACTGTAACTTTTCAATATAAAATATAAAGTCCTATACTAAAATGAATGAGACCTGAAAAATTACCAACATCTCAGAGAAACGGAAGTCATGAAATTCACTCATTAAAATGCTTAGTGCAAGAAGTCAAATAAGGCTCACGAAACACTTATGTGGACACCACTTCTAAATGACAGGCACTGTACCAGGAGCCAGAAAAATGACCCCACTATGGCACCTATCATTTAGTCTGCTGCGTGTGTGTGTGTAGAGGAGGGGGTGCAGAGGGGGAAGTTTCGAATGTACACACAGAGAATTTCTTGCTGTCCAGATTCCCCGTCACCTGGTCCCCTGCCACATCCCCCAGGGGAGTGCTCCCTCAGGATGCATGCGGGGCGTGGCTGTTGGAGGAAACAATGGCTGGCCCACTCACACCACTATGGTATTCTGAGGAGCAGGGACCAGCGTTGCCACTGGATAGGGAGAAAGATCCAGGAAGGCCTCAACGACGCTGTAACTTTAACTCTGAAAGCTCAAAGAAAAAGGGACTCTGTTACTCTAGCCAGAGGCAAAAATCCCTGAAAATGCCAACCCACTGTGCTCACATGAGACCCTGACCACCAAATGCAGATTGTCAATATGCTTGAGACTTAAGAGTTCTAAGGGAACCAGAGAAGCTAAAAACAGCACACTGATTTTACAATTCATCCCTTTTTATCCTTGCTGCTTTATTTACTAGGCCAGACAGCAAAAAAAAAAAAAAAAGCTTTTGCTGCCATCAATATTCATAGCAGTTACATCCCTACGTCAAGACAGTACACTATACTTCACAGCAGAAAAACAAGGCAGAGAACAGACAGTACACCTCCCAAACACAGCTTGTTTTTCCTCTTTGGTTTTTATTTAGAAGTAATTTTGCCACAATAACACAAGGGCCATTAGTGTAAATGAATTGTTTAACGTTATTTTTCCTTCTCCTTTGCCCTCCCCCCGCTTCTTTTTAAAGAATTTGGTTTCTCTTTCCAAAATCCTTAGTGAATGATTTGATGGAACTCTTTATAGGAAACACAAACCTCCTTTAATGCAATTCTTTATTACAGAGATTCTACCATGTGCCAACTGAACAACTGCAGCTTGGAGGGCAGGCAGACCAGTTTATCTAGAAGCCAGTGTCATCCTGGTCCTCAATCCTGCCACTAAAAAGGAATCCCATGAAACAGGTATCGCTCCACATTCAACAAACTATTATTTTTAAATCTTGCAAAACATCATTCAGGGGAAGTGGGATAATTATTTGCTTTACAAAATGATGGTTCATTTGAGAAAAGAATGTTGAATTTGCAATTTGAAAAGGAAGCTAACAAGAAAGTCAGGTTCGTCACCAGGCAGGTGAGATGGGATGGTGGGCCCAGCCAAGGCAGCTCGCTAAGAGGTGACACACAGAAGACACTGAGTCTGTGGCCACAATGGATGGAAACACAAGGGAAGAAGCACTATCAAGGATGAGAGACGGATGGCAAAAGAAGGGGTCAGAAGGAATTCTCTAGAACAGACACGAAATGAGGTATTCCCAGTACAAAAGGCCTGAGCAGGAGCTGTATCTTAACAGCCCCTCGCCAGGTTCAATAGAAAGAGTAAATGATTCCTGTATCTCATCCCCCACCGTGTGCCAGGCACTCAGTCACCTACCAGCAGGGATTTCTTCTCCCTGGCAGGAGATCCTGAGTGGGCAGGGCCTGCCAAACCTCCCCGTAGAAAACCACCACCAGAAACTACCCTATAGATGGACGGAAGTCCCCCACGAGAACGCAATCCACTAGAGAAACAAAGGCTCAAATCTAATTCTGAAACCCAAGGTATCTTCTTTAAACAGTGAAATTTCACCAACAGGACCGGCTCTAAACTAGTTAATAATCTCCAAACCAGTTAATGCTATACAGCAACTTGAGAAATAAGAACTGTCAACTAGCAGGAGGTGGGAGATGCCAGAATCCTTTATTAGACTTGGTACTGTCCTTTCCTATTTTAAGAATCCTCTTAAATAGGAAGAATCCTTATCAGTGTTGTGGTATGAATGCTTGTCCACCTGTTTAGCCATCTATTCCTGAGCACCTGCATCCTCCTCAGCAAAGCCAGATCCTTGTCCTTCCAGAGTTCCCAAGCTACTGTCAAAAGGTGAATGAAGGTTTAATGCCTCCAGCTAAGAGTCACTTCTTTGTTCTGCTCTTCCACCCACGTGGCCCAAGACATTGGTAAGGCTTTCTGGATTACATCCTGCCAGAAGTCCCCCTCTCCCACTGACACCTTCTATCCCTTCTATGCCCTGCCAGTGCCCTGTGATCCTGGGTTCCCTACTGAAAGGGGCCCTCTCTTTCTGTCTTTAACTCTAGCATCTAGGTGTATATCAGACATGTGTAAGGTATTCATAGGTGCTACTAGAAAGCAGAGAAGAAAAACAAACTGAAGGAATACAGCTATAGTTCTAGACATGTAGGGGCTACTGCAGCATGAGGTTTTGTGATCCTAGCATATGTATTTTGAAAAAAAAAAAAAAAAAAAAAACAGAATATGTATGTATGTTTCTAAGTTACTATAAACCCTTTTTATCTTCTTCTTCAAGATGAGGTTTCACCATGTTGGCCAGGCTGGTCTCGAACTCCTGACCTCAAGTGATCTGCCCACCTTGGCCTCCCAAAGTACTGGGATTACAGGCATGAGCCACCGTGCGCAGCCAAACCCTTTTTTAGAACAAGCCTGAAATAAACAGTCAAACTGCTGAAACAACAGCTGATCTCAGTGTCTCACCTGGCCTCCCCTGCTATCCCAACCTGTAGCTCTTTGGTTAAAGACCTCATCCTTTCATCTTTCAACTTTCCCACTGCTTCTTCCAACTGTCCCACCTCTCCTCCGTAAGAGCGCTTCACCCCAAGTCATGGGCCAACCTGCTCCCTCCCACACATGCCAGCCGTCTTCCCACCTCCATGTCTTTGCCCTCCCTGCTTTACCCACCTAGAGTGTCTGCCCTCTTCTGATGAATGAGCATAGAGCTCTGTGATACAGGGCCAAAAATGCACCCAGTGTGGTTGAATGCAAAGAACACAGGGCCTGGAACCATATATCTGATTTCTGCTAGTCCCAGCTCAGCCACTGATTCACGCTGTGGCCCTGGGCCACGGTGGAACCATTCCACATCCTGTTCCTTTCTTTCTAAAATGGTCTTCCCATCCCCATTTCTCATCAGACTAAGCTCTGCTTGCCCTTCAAGGCTCATCTTAAATGACACTTCCTCAGCACAACCTCTACTGACCTCCCAGACAAAATTACAGCCTGCTGTTACATGCTGTCAAAGCCCATTATACTTCTTCACAGACCTAATTCACAATATAAATTTAAATTTTAAAAAATTATCTCTTTATCAGAGAGCCAAGAAATAAATCCAGGCATTTATGGTCAACAGATCTTTGACAGAGGTGCCAAGAACACATAGTGGGGAAAGAACAGTCTCTTCAATAACCGGTGTGGTAAAACTAGACATCCACATGCAGAGGAATGAAATCAGACCCTTACCTCACTCCATATACAAAAATCAGCTCAAAATGGATCAAAGACTTAAACATTAAGACCAAAAACAGTGAAAGTGCTAGAGAAAAACAGAGTGAAAGATTCTTGAAATTAGTCAGGGCAAAGATTTCTTAGATATGAGCCCATAAGCACAGGAAACATAAGCAAAAATAAACAAATGGGACTACATCAAACTAAAATGCTTCCACACAACAAAGGGAAAACCATCAGAATAAAGAGACAACCTATGAAATGGGAGAAAATGTTTTTAAACCATTCATTTGATAAAGGGTTAATATTAAAAATAGATAAGGAACTCAAACAACTCAATTGCAAGAAAACAATGTGATTTTACAATGGGCAAAGGACCTGAATGGACATTTCTCAAAAGAAGATATACAAATGAGCAACAGATACATGAAAAAGTACTCAACATCAATAATCATCATGGAAATATAAATTAAAACCACAATGAAC